CTGCGGATCGCCTTGGGCGCCTGGCCTCCGACCACAATCATGACCTCCAGAAAGACAAGCGGACATTAGGTGGGCCTCCCGACATCTGGAGTAAGGACTGGGTGCTCAACCCGTGGTACTTCCACATGGTCACGGCCGGGGTCTGTGGGTGGCCCAAGATGCCATGTACAGCACAGTGTTATTTACATGAGGGTCCCGCCCTAATCGGCAGCGGAGATGAACTGGCAGAAGTCTAGCTAGCATCTTCCCACAGAAGGACCCTCATGAAGTCTGGCTTCCCAAACTTCCCTGCTCACAGCGATGGTGGGAGCGCATGAAGCCACTCAGGGCATCTTCCACAATCTCGGTGCCTTCATGGATGGGGATGTGGAGGGCGGTCATCAAATAAATGTAAACATATTTTGAAACAGAAGAAGAGGGTAGAGGATATGTTACAGTTCTGGAAGGGTCGCTGCTCACGGCAGCGAAGAGAAAACCTGTGAACACTGCTTTGTGGTGGTTACCACAAAAACACATTTAACGTGTGATGTTCTGGGAATAGTGCTAATAGCACTATTTCTGCAAGGAAATAGGAAACTACCGGGAGGTGGGGGTGACGGGTGGGAGGGGGAGACCAAAAAAAAAAAGAAACTACCTGGCACTGTGTAAAGGATGTTATTGGCACGACTTGAGTCCCTTGTCACCAAAACTGTGAGAGGTCGATACAGGTGAAACCTGTGAGGACCAGAGCCCCACAAAAACTACCCTTTGGGGGGGTCCTCACAATTTGTCTTTTTCAGGGTGGCAATTTATGTCCCACTGCTTTTTTGTTGCTTGCTATTACTGGGAAATGTTTGTGTTTTCCTTCTCTGGAAGATCTGCACCCCCACAGGTTTCAGCTTCCATGGGCTTAGTGTATTCTCAACCCCATCAACTAATGAGAAAAGGAAAGGCCAGATCTGGTGCACACATTGCCCAAGGGCCCACAGTGAGGGTGGTGGAAGAGCCTAACGCCACCCCTCTGCTGGGTGGTCTGCAGTTCAAGACCACCAGCCGCTCTTCAGGAGAAAGATGAGGCATTCTACTTCCTTAAGGATTTCGTCTCAGAAACCCACAGTCTCAGAAACTCACAGGAGGCAGTTCTACTCTGTCCTAGAGCAGCACCCTAAGTCAGAATCAATTCGATGTATTTGGCTTTGAATTTACTGCTCTCCTGCGCTAGAGTGTGTCCAGGCTAAAGCAACTCTGAACATCTACTGAGGGTCATGTCTCATCAGTGAATCATAAGGCCATACTTTTCATAAAACCACACAGAAATCTCATAGTAAGGGTGATATTTCATGAAATATTTATTCTCGTTAGACACATGCATGTGTGTTCTGGGTAGCAGATACATACATACATACA